AGCTGAGGACCTAGTCTGTCTACTAGCCCTGACAACAGTCTGGCACCCAGGCTAAAACCAATGTTGTTCTCTGCGAGATTTCACAAACGGCCGTGGTTTCGCCTTGCCCGTGAATAGACGGTCTTTCCCAGCTCGTCTTTCCGCCCGACAAGACTAACAAACCGTTTGATGTGTGAACACCGCTCGTTTGAAGATTATACGTCCTGGAAGTTAGCTTTAGCTTTGGAGTGGGCGGTGTTGGTTTTAGAGGATAATTATGAAGGAATTTCGCAAATAATTTCGGTATGTTTGACTCCGGATAACACAGTTTGTCCAACACTTTTTAATCCCCTTCGCTATCCAAATGTGTTTACGTCAGTGACCTGGCGTTTTGGTTACGCTAGACCAACACGGGAAGAAAAGTAACAACAGATCAGCAGCAGGCCTATATTTAACCATTTCCTGTGCGTACTTTATAAATAGGGTTTTAACTCGGGGAGTAGACTACCCAGGATTAAACTAGAAAGGAGTTTGCACCTGCAACCTTAGAAACAGCCAAAGAACCATTTTGTTGTAGACTAGGTTGAGAAAAAGTTACCTTTCCTAATTACTTTGTATCCTATTTTATTAGTTTTTTCTCAGGAAGTCTTAGGCGTGTTTTTGTCTGTAACTAGGAAAAATATCCTGAGATTAGTGAAGCCCATTCATGTATTTGGGTTGTTGTTGATACATTATACGTGATGGGTAAGCCAGTATGTGTGTGTGTGTGTGTGTGTGTGTGTGTGTGTGTGTGTGTGTGTGTGTGTGTGTGTGTGTGTGTGTGTGCGTGCGTGTGTGTGTGTGTGTGTGTGTGCGTTCAGATACTACGTGTGCAATTGAGGCTACATTACGCAATGCTGTCATTATAACTTACGTAATGTATGATTTTCTGAAGACACGCCATGTATAATGACAGAGGAGGCATGTTTGAAGATTTGAAGTCAAAACGTTGAACTTCTTGGTAGAGATTGTCACGAGACACTGCGTGTGTAGGGGTCATTTCAGGTTAACTATGGCAATGACGGTTTTTTATCTGATCAAAAACTTCACGTGTAACTTTATGAAACTGCCTTAAGGTTTCAAAGAGCATTCTTAAAACAGACACTCTGAGAATTACTAGTATGTTCTGCAATTCACATACTAGTATTTGAAGGTCATGTCAAAGTTAGAATCACTAGCACCCCCCTCCCACCCCAGGATGGATATCTGAGGGCTTCTATGGTTGCCATAGAAACCGTGACTTGCCCTGTCAGACCACAGGTTATGACGTTACAGCCGGCACTACTGATATCTGGGGTCGCCCTGAATGTTTTGAGTCATGTCGGGTTGTTTCTTTACTTCCGTTCAAAACAAAAACACTTCGCGTAGCGCGCGTGCCGTCGCCATGTGTATACAAACTATAGTCAGAGATCCTAATCCTGTACCTACGTACGTCCGTCAATGTTTTTGTCTTGAATAAGAGTCATCGAACGTGTCTTGGAAGCAAGGAGGACGCTTAGTCTTAGAAATCATAAGCGTGTCCAACCCCCAAAAGGTCATAGAACACACTTCCTCTTGTGTTGTGGTTTTCCACTGATCCAAATCTTTAAGCTTATGAGAGAATGTTGTGTTAAAATGTTGTGTGTTTACACAAGCCAGCGGACCATGTTGTTCTAGTGAATATTAGTACGTGGAAATATTGTTATTTCATGGTTCAGATTCTAGGCAGACGGGATGTGTCTTGTAGCCAGACCGCGTCGCTTTTTTGTCTATATTTTGCGGTCGAGTGACACGTTAAAGTTCGGGCATTGCTTATAAACAAGGACAATGTTTTGGAAGCGAGCCGTAAGATACCATGCGTCACAACAACTCGGTGTGTAAACTCAGGTTTGTTTTCTGTAAACACAACCGCCAGGTAAACTATGTCCGCCGCCACATGGCAAGCTGGTTTGTCAACAAAGGGACGACGACGAGATTTCAGGATGTGTGACTCCGGCTTAAGATATACGTGACGGTTTTATTGTCTTTCTTAAGGAAACGGTTTTGTGTCTAACTTCCGGCGTGTGCGCGAGCTAAGGTAGTTTCCCTGGCCTGAATCCAACATTCCGAGAAGGTCAAACTTCTTCCTTTACTCCAGGTGAGAATTAACACCTGAGAGTTTTAGGGAAACGGACAGGAAACGGAATAATCACACCTGTCGTTTGGCATATCTAACATTCCTCACCTGCATTCTCGTAATATCTTACCTTACCACAAAATCTCTTCAAGCCTCGAGGGTTATGTTAACAGCATACCTACATTTAGATAGATAGGTAGCTACATGTAGATAGCTACATGTAGATAGATACATGTAGATAGGTAGATAGATAGATAGCTAGATTGTAGATAGACGGATAGATAGATAGATAGATAGATAGATAGATGGATAGATAGATAGATAGATAGATAGATAGATAGATAGATAGATAGATAGATAGATAGATAGACAGACAGAACGTTTCAACTTTGATACATGTCACTTTAGGTCAATGGATTGAGTAGAAATTCATAATTTGTACATTGGAAACCACCCTTACCACCTTAACCACCAACTGGGATCTCTAGAACTGCCATGTATATATACCAGATCGGACCCTCTAACCTGACATATATACTAGTATACTGTACCAATATAACAGTAGAAGGAAACCAGCCCAACATAATATTCGTGTAGACAATCAAGGAGGATTTTTCACTAAGGCGTGGAACGTTTTGTACGTAGCTCAACTCGTCATAGTCACGAGTTTTAGGTGCGGTTAGTTTAACCGCTTAACGTTAAACACGTAGAGGTGTAATAGTACAAATTGGTCTGTAAATGACAGAGTGGGGAGGGGGATCCTGGAACTTCAAAGCTTTTTTTGGATCGCCAAAAATGTCAGCCTTTTATTTGACCACACCTGTGTAATTATTTCGACTAGGTCCTATTTATTACATCCTCTCTCAATTGAACGTAGCCTGTATTTCCACATTCGTTGCATTTTTATGGTTGTCAAGATTGTAAATGTCTTCCTTTGACTACATGAATGCATATGCATAGTTACAATTCTTTGCATTGCCGTATTCACCTAGGGGCATATAGCTCGCGCGTGACAATTGTTCTAGTGCATTGTAGCGCCACACCCCCTTTCTACGACACACCCCCTGCATAGTAATATATTTGTTGAATCATACCTAGCTGTCAAAATTTCTCGACGCATACTTTGCACTATTCCTTCCACCTAAATGCTCATATCATTCGCGTCCTTGAGTTAAATTAAGGTCACACACACACACACACACACACACACACACACACACACACATACATACAGACAGACAGATACACACACACAC